GTGGGACAAAAAATATACACCCGCAGAAATAACAAGTAAAAAATAATGAAATGCACCAAACTTTTTTCATTTTCCCCTTCGACCAATTTTTCACATCTTTTTTATATGATTTGTTTCTCATCTAAAACTCTACAAAGAAAACGAACTCTGATACGATTTTGCTTGTGGCCCGCGCACCTGTTGCTGGTTCTCCCGCTGGGTGGTGAGACGGGCCTCGATGCACTGGCGGGTCTCGAGGAAGGCCTGCCGCTTGGCGAGCTCGCTGGGGTGGTGTGTGAACACGCCAGCCATGTTGACCGACACGAGCAGTACCACGTTGCACACGAGCTGGATAGTGACAAGCAAAACATTTACATTCGATTAGAAAGCAAGAAAAAAATGTGTTCACAAAGAATAAGTGAAAACATTTATCAAACTGCTGGTTTAAATAGAATCGCAGAGGCTGCCCCTCTCTCTTCTCTGAGAGTTAAAGGCCTTTTTTCGGCCCCTTTCGCGTTTCTCCGCGCGCGTCACAGTGGCGTGGCGACTAATTTTCTCGGTGAGAGAAGTGGGGACGAGGAGCGAGCCGAGAGCAGTGGACTTGTCGTAGCCTCGGCTTTGAACCCGAGCGGTCCCACCCCAGCGTACCACGCCGACCCTTCCCGCCCGTCAAGTGTACCTCTGAGGAGCAGGCCACAAGCCAAGGGGATACCTTCGAAAACGGGTATACTGTGAACCGTGGAGTAGCCATCTCGTGCCCTAAAGTGAGCGTCGAATTTCCTTATCGCTCTTAGCAGAGTGGTATAGTTTTAGTCCAGCCTCTTTATAATAACCAGCAATAAATAATCGTACAAGATTGGTAAGAGTCACATCGAACGCTAAGTAAAAATAAACATATATGAGCATTATTAATCAATATAAACTCTCCGAAGGGTGACATAATAAGTTTCACGATCTTGCTCTTCAGGAACGACAAAACCTTGCACTGCCTCGATACAGGACCCATGGCTGAGTGCCTTCGACAGTGGACCCACTCCTGCTTGTTAACCCAGCAGTATAGTTTCCCTCAAGAAAAGGAAAGAAAAATAAGAAAGCTGTGAGTCTCCTCGCTAAAGTATGTCTCGCCCGTCTCTTATTTCACTCCACCTGACATCCTGTCTGTCTCGACCACCCCCTCCTCGTCTGCGTCGTCCCCTTAATCCCGCCTCCCTGCCCCCCAAAGCCGTACACTGCAGCATTCACACGGCCCCGTCCACCCCAACCCCAACGCCGATTCACCGCCCCACCCCGCCCCACCCCACCACGCCTTACTTCGCCTCGCCACGCTCTCTGATTGAGAGCCCTTTCATTAGCGACTTCCGGTCCCCCCGGCGGCGGAAGTACAACAGAGCATGCTGAAGGAAAAGAAAAGTGAAAGGGGGGCGGGGGCTATAGGAGCGCCGTGGAGTGTGCTGTATTGGACGGGAGCTCCGCAGAACAAAATGATACCAATAATACCTCTTGTGGTCTGTCCGTGCTAGGACTGGGAGGCACCCCAGAGCCGAATCAGAGCACGGTAGATGCGGTGGAGACCCAGCACTGCGTGGCTCTTGTCGCGCAAATTCTAGCTGAGTCATTTCCGAGCTCGCTTGCAGCGCTTTTGGTGGTATAACCACTTCCCTAACATGCCAATGGAGTACAGGTGGCCGTGACCTCCGTGGGAGGGACCCACACCCTCTGAACGCCACATAGTCACCTAGCTTGTAAAAATGTTGGCACTCCCTTTTAATTACAAAATTTTTGACGTAATTTGCCCAAATTTAATATCCGTTTAAAGTTACGCTTCGAAAACAAAATTTTGTCAAGTGAAGAGGCCAAATAAAATTTGCAGTCTCCAGAAGACGACTAAAATTCGGCACTAAAGGAGTGCAAAAATTTTGGCAAGCTAGGCGACGTCTGCGTTTAGAGTGGGGGAAAACATCTTCGGATATCGAAAGGACGCCAAGGACGACAAGGTCGCCGTGCGCCGTGCCGACCCACGGCTCCGGCAGCTTTACCGGGTCCGGCTAATGCTCGCCGGCGGGCCGGGGCCACGACGGCCCTGTCAACCGGAGCTGGAGCGAGCCGGACTGAGAG